TAATAATAATAATAATAATAATTAACATTAAGATTTATTTATGATTACAAGATAACTACAGTATTTTACGAAGAATTCTAGAATAATTCTAATGCTACTTTCCTCCAAATAATTTGATGATGAATAATGCCTAGTGATTCCCTTTCTCAACAAACAGTACATGTAGTTTGACATTAAGTAGTATAACGTCACACCTTGTGCACAGAATGAACTATCATAATTTTGAAACTTGCAACTTTGTATATGTGCTTGATAGCTGATTTAACAATTCTGAGGTTTTAGATTGTGTTATACTGACAATGTCCTCTGAATGCAATCCACTCAATGTTCTCTGAAATTGAATTATCCAGCAACATTTTTGTAAAACGTTCCTTGGAAACTCCTCAGCCAATCAGATACAAGTATTTGCACTACTAAACAAGTAGAATTAAACACTAGCAAACCGACAAAATTATTCTATTACATATGGTCATGTACGCACATAAGAGAAGGGATGCAGAGCTCTCAAGTCTCATGCATTGAGCGAGACTCACGCAAACCAATTCAATCCTACACTCTCACCATGAAACTATTATTTCTCACGCATTAAAGGTTCCTTGCTGCTTTAGTCAAGTACCTAAATATTAATATTAACTATCTTTTTGGATATGAATTGTTCTGGGGGGGGGGGGCATGCCCCCAGACCCCCTAGGAAGGTAACCCCAGCTATGTCACAACCCACGGGCCTTTACATTGTCTCATTCTTTGGCAACAAATCAACTTGAGAGGTCTGGGGATGTCACTAGGATTTGAAACAGGCAGATATTTAATATTTATTTGCTGTAGGTGGGTACTAGTCAAGAAGAGGGTTTCAGAATCAATACAATTTCAACATTTCGCAGACATCAACAATTTCCCAGTGTTCAGGAAGCATGGAATTTGAACCACAGGAGGCCCAGACGTTGAATACGATTAATACATGACATTATGCTGTTGGCGATTGCGTTACAATTGTAGCTCTCTATAAGACAATGTATGAGAATGCTTCGAAAATTACTCTAAATGCTACGTGTAGAAAATAATTTGAATAAAATGGCTTACCTTATGTTTGCATTGTGTTATTTTGATGTCTTTGGGTTCCTGGAGGTGGTTTAGAGTCATTTAGGCAAGTTTTACTTTCTAGCTGTTTGCTTCCCCTAAAAAGAAATGAAAGGTGGGCGACCCACTGGCCCAACGGCCCGCTCTCAAAGCTCCGTAAATTCCACAAAAATGGTCTAATCTCGTCAAAATTGCCTCATGGCAGCCGGCAATAACTCTTCTTCCCATTCACTTTCTCCCAAGGTTCCAAAGTTTATCTTAACTGCCCAAGAATGGTTGGTTTTCCAGCTCTTGCTTTCCATTTCCGCTCCCTTTCGATCCATAACTGATTATCTTGGGAACAGGATTTGAATTTCTAGCTTAACGACCTCGCCATCATGACAAACTCGCCTCCAACCGTTGAGAGGCACAGGGTATTGGTCAGTTACTCGTTGCCATCTGCCGCTGCAGTTAACAGTACTTTTAGGCACTAAATTCAGCCGAACATTGTTTGCTCCTTGTATTATTGCAGTTAACAGTGCTTTTAGGCGCTAATGTCAGTTATACACTGCGGCACGGTACAATTTGCATGATCAAAAAATGCCCCGTCCCTCTCAATGGTTGGAGGCGAGTTTGTCATGATGGTGAGGTCGTTAAGCTAGAAATTCAAATCCTGCAGCCAAGATATATGAGTTATTGACCAAGTGTGAGGTCAAGATGGCTGGACATTGGCCAAGTTCTTTTTTTGCGAATTTATGGACCAAGACGGAGTCGAGGTCCATAAACTTGCAAGAAAAGAATGAGGCCAATATCCAGCCATCTTGACCGAACAAGCTTGGTCAATAAAGGATTTATTATATGGCAGACGGCTGCCATGAGGCAATTTTGACGAGATTAGACCATTTTTGTGGAATTTACAGAGCTTTGAGTGCAGGCCGTCGAGCCAGTGGGTCGCCTGCCTTTCATTTCTCTTTAGGAGAAGCAAAACGCCAGAAAGTAAAACTCACCTAAGTGGCTCTAAACCACCTCCAGGAACCAAGAGACATCAAAATAACGCAATGCAAACATAAGGTAAGCCATTTTATTCAAATTATTTTCTACACCTAGCATTTAGAGTAATTTTCGAAGCATTCTCATACATTGTCTTATAGACGGCTAAAATTGTAACGCAATCGCCAACAGCATAATGGTACGTATTAATCGTATTCAACGTCTGGGCCGACTGTGTTTGAACATGCACATTTTTTGTAAATTCCACCAAATCTTCAGATTTTCGATAGGAAAAAGGTAGCTTTGGGTGAAATTGCCTTCTGCCCACGAGTCCTGCTGATCAAAGTTATTAGCACCCTTTTATTTCGCTATCAGTCATTGCTGATTCATGTAGTCAATTTTAATATTTACATAATAAGCTCCATGGTTTAATGGACATTCACCTTCAAAAAGCAATATTGCCGAAACTTTCATCATAGCCAATATCATAATTTCATAGTATCATAATTTCACTAACCTTTTCCAAATAACGTTGCTACGAGATCAATGTACACTTCACTGTTTGCAGGTCGCTTTCTCCGCTGGTCTCCTCCTGACAAGAAGACATTGGCTTCTCCATGAAACTCCACTCGAATGCCACGAAGTTTTAACTCCTTATTAACCATGACTCTAACAATACCCTTGATAATTTCACCGGGGAAGAACGTTGTCTTGTCATCCTGAAATTCCACTCGGAAATATACCACTTTTCCCATTAGAAAATGCGCTGTTACCTACTCGCCATGTTCTCACGACAATTTCATAACAGCAAATGCCGGAAGAAGGAAGAAGATTCCAGATCGTGCCCAGACTGCCCCGAGTCCTAACGTCTGGTCACATCTGTCTCCCCAAGCAAGAAGCAAGCCCTCGCTGTTTGGCTATGTCTTTTTAAAGTTTATAAAAACATGTTTCGACAGTACCTTCTCTTATCGTCAGTTACGTCAAATTTGAATAATGTTTTGAATAAAACAGTGCCAACGTCAATCAAATTTATGCCTAGAGCTTTGTATGGCCATTTTTGTGGTCCTCGGAGCTGAGGGGCACCATTATGGCCACCGTAAGATGAAACGTTATTTCTCTAGGGCTCCGATATCTTGAATTTTTTTTAATGCTTTTAATAGCTTACAAACATCACTTACAATACATGATAAAACTTACGTTATAATACACGATTCAAGGTTACCTTTGCTCATTTGCATTACATTAAAATCTAACATGTATGCGAGGCAATTTCGGGCTTAGCCCGAAATTGCCTCGCATCCACGTTGGATACATTGTAATGCAAATGAGAAGAATTAACCGTGAAAAGGGTTATAACTTACTTACAGAAAAAGAAACAACAACAACAACTCGCAACAAATTACTAAGAGACACGCCTTAACTGGTGAGAAAGAATTTCAACCTCTGTTGTACGGTGACCCACAACTGTCACATCAAAAACAAATTGCTCACATCAAAAACAAATTGCTCACATCAAATTCAAATTGCTCACATCAAAAACAAATTGCTCACATCAAATTCAAATTCCTCACATCAAAAGCAAATTGCTAATCGCTCACATCAAAATCAAAAACAAAAACAAAATCATTACTCACTGGTCAGCGGCTACGTTAAAAAGACTATCCCCAGTTTTCACTCG